ATTCTTTTGGGGGTCGTTGGTTGGATTAAAGCAAAAAAGAGAGAAAGAAAAAAGAAAGAGAGAGCGAGAGAGAGAGAGAGTCTTGATTAATGAAATGCGTATGGGTTGCGGCGGCGAGGGTAAAGAGTAACTCGAAATAGGACAACGGACCCCGTTCTAATCAATGTTGGGAGGTTATTTAGACGGGTCGCGGGAAGCGTGTGGAGAAAGGAAGGTATGATTGGTAGGGGTGATTATTTTCCTTCTTCCCAAGCTGAGCGGGTGCATATTTAGAGAAACGAAGGAATTCTTGCCTCACTGAATATCTTCTGTCTTTTAATATTTTCACGATTTCCGCACATTCAAATAGACGATTGTTTGTTTGCACCATAACTGTTTTGCGAAAAATGGCTTTGGCTAAAATCAGCATAAAGGGAGAATTTAACTTAAAAAATAAACAATCTTAATCATTTCATTTTGAAGCAAACGATCAAGTAGAATCAGATTTGGTTAAAAAGCGTATAAGAGTATTTTAGTATTTTACCCTCTGAATAATGAAACATGTTCAACTAGGACTTTGGGTCAATTTTCAAAAACCTACACTATGGCTTTCTTCATTGCGGATTGAATCCAATTTTTGACCCCCGCACATCGGAAGCAAAAATTTAGCTCAAAACTTATAACTGCCGGCCAAACGAAACAAATTTTTAGCCTCTCACTTGTTAAAAAATGTTATCATCTTGATGTTTTAACACACAGCAAAGATGGCTTTGTTTTGAAACAGTGTTTTAAAACCCGCTGTTTTAAAACTTTCCAACCCTGATTAGAATAGAATGTATTTTTTTCTTAATTGGTTGGTGCTATTTTTTTAAAGATACCTTCATTTTTGGGAGCATAATTAAAATGAGTCTGACGTGCAAGAAATCAGGTTGAGCATTTCAAGAGCTAACACCATTTGGCACTAATTGAGTGGATTCTTCGTTATTATTTCCTAAAATTCATTCACTGAGCATTTTAACAATATATATATATATTTATCCTCATCTTTCAAAGAAAAAACTAGTTTAGCAACTTAGCTTTGACTAGAGGTTGGAAGTGCAAAAAAATTAGTTCAAATTTGAGAATCAATTATTTCCCGTCTTCTTCAGAATTTGACATCAATGCGAATGTTTTCGGGGATGGGAAAAGAAATATACAAAACATAAGCGGGGGAATGACAAAGCAGAACAATCATACAGACAGGATAACATGTAAATCTCGTTCACACTCATTTTCCCATTTCCCCTCGATTCGGTCGTTCACCTTTGCCGCCCGTCTGGAATTGGGTCCGCGTCTTTGCTCTCAAAATGGGGAATTGAAAAGGTAGAGGGGTTAGCGGGAGGTAGGGGAATTTAGAAAAGACAGCGGTGTGAATTGTCTGTATTTGCCCTCTTTGCAGTTAAAGCGTCTCTGGTCTAAAATGGGTAATAACCCTCGTCGACATGTACTTTTGCCGAAAAAGAAAACTATTATTAACAGACGATCAATTTTTAGACAATTGCTGAGACCAACATACTACTGCTGAGCTTTTTACGGAATACTGTTTATGACTATTTTGTCTTTTGTACTTTAATCAGGTATTCATCGTCTTCTATTTTAGTCTCAATCTTTCTAAATTTTGATTAAGTTTTCAATACCAAAAGATTGGAACTGTTGTTTAAAAAAACGTATAAAACTTTGGGAAGCAGCAAAAATGATGGCTGGTTTGGGCATCTGAGAAGTGCAGAAGTGCTTATGAGAGTGTGAAATTTCACAATTAAGTTCAACAACCACTGCTTTCTAAACGGGATTTCGGCTAATCGGCAGAGTGGCACTCCTAGTCTGTTCACCTCGACTGTTAAGACTTAAGGGTGAAGACGGCTGTAAAATGAGACTAAAAGCGCTTCGCTTGATTAAATTCAGTCCCCCCAAGCTTAGCCCAGATTTGAATCTCTGTCGCTTGAGAAATTGCCCAAGCATAAAGCCCTAACAGACCACCGCCACTGAAGCCAAAGCAGCAGAAAACGTGGAAACGCTGGCTGAAAGCGGCACAACCTATTATTACCCCTGTTAACTAATACCAACCGCAGAGAAATTATGACTGCAAAATCCGAAATCAAACAATAACCAGCCACAATAAACAACCCCTGCCCCTCGAAATCCGTCTCTAGCAAGCAAGCTAAGCAGGATTTGCTCGGTCTCAATTGCGCAGATTTATTACATCTACTATAAAAACTGTCAAGAGTTCATTTAAGCGGACACTGAGCAAAACCAACAAGCTCGCGCCGCGGTCTCCGCGTCAATGTTTGACATCCTAGGAACCATCACAGAAACGCTTGCTTGATTTTCATTTAAACATCAGTTATTTGGACGCCTTTCGTTTCGTTTCGCCTCCGAATCAAACACTATCTGTCTAAATCAAGACTAAACAAATATCTAATTTGACTACGAAATAATAGAGAAAACCGAGAATTAGTGAATCAAGGCTAGTCTCAGATCTGAAACGAACCTTCAGATAAGCCTCCAAATTTTGAAATAGGCGAATGGTTTTAGGCGAAGAAACCCTAGTTCGTTGAAGAGGTAGCAATACCACGTCATATGACCGCAAAACAAAGCTTTGTATTTTCGAAGAGAAATTTAATTGAATTCGAATTCAAAGAGCCCCTTTAGCTTTTAACGGCTTCTGAAAGAACAGATTAAGCCCTTAATCACTGCTTGATAAACTCAGGGCTCAAAAGATGGTCAATTTGTTTAAAATAAAGCACGCAAAAGGCTGAAAAAATGTTCCTTCGATTTCGAATTGTGAACATTTCGAGAAAAATTCAAATGCAGCAGTGCTAGAAATGCATTTCAATTAGAAGGCGTGTATCGGCAAAAGGTCAAGAGACCAATGAACTTAATTCCACCAACTCCCCCCCCCCCCCCCCCCACGCACACACACACACACACACACACACACACACACACACCTACTTTAACTAATAAAGCAGCTTTTCCCGATACTCTTTTCAAATTTAGACGAATTACGACTGCTCTCACAATTCAAAAATTTAACTAGTATTGAACGGAATTTTAAATTTAAAATCGATTATATTACACTTGAACAACACGTGGATTTGAGATGAAATTTCAAAAACAATCTAACAAACATTGAAACAGCGAAAAAAAACAAACGCCACAAAAAATATATGCAACGGTGTGCTTAGACGTGTATCAGACTATAACGTGGAAATGAAAAGTGTCTACCAATTTTGCACATCAAGCTCAACAAAGAAGCCATGGCGCGACATATCCGGAAGCGAAAGAAAGATGGCGGATAATTGGCTGACGATCAGAAAACACGAATGGTCAATTTAGCTACTAGCGAAGACAGAGAGGGTCTCAAATTTGAGAAAATTGAGACAATTTGTGTCTGTTTTTACTTGAATGAGTAATAAGTGGTTGGAAAAAAGGCCCAAGGTTGGTTGGAAAAAGGCCCCAGGTTGAATGGTGGTAGCTGGGGGCTAAAAAAATGGGTCTAGGACAACAAGCCGACGGGACTTCAAGCCGAAGGGACTTCAAGCCGAAATTAAAACTTTACAAGCACCCCAAAACGCTATTTTATCATCTGCAAAATGTTGCTTTTCTAAAATTTTGGCAAGTTTAGTCCATAGTAAGCGTTATTCATGACAATGCACCACTTGTGATTCGCATCCGTTAATAACATCAGCCGGTTTTTGAAATTCATAAATTATAAACATGAAAAATGCCTTCAACCATGTTTTACTTTTCAACTTTCCGGGACATCATTTGGAGGCTTAAATTATATGCAAACGCCAATAACTAGTGAAGAAAGATAATGAAATTCAGAAATTGTTCAAAAAAGTTTTCAAATTGTTCATATTTCACGACTTTATAAGGAATTATTCGGCTTGAAGTCCCTAATTTTACAATTCGGCTTGAAGTCCCGTCGGCTTGATGTCCGGCACCCTAAAAAAATAGATGGCACCACTAACACAGAGGGAGAGGGGGATGCGCGGGTGGGGGGGGGGGGGTCGCAGGGAGCAAAAAATTATCCCTTTCGCATTTTTATCCCTTCTCACTACTATTTTGATGTTGGTATTAATACTTTGTACAAATGTGATTCATTTGATTTTTATGTTTATCTCTGCCTCTGCTCCTGAACCATTTCCTGTCCCTTTTTTTCGTACCCCCCCCCCCCCCCCCCCCACCCTATGGGTTGGTGGTGCAAAACTATAGCACCATCTATGAATAGGTTTTTGTAGCCTTTTCGTTGTAGTGAAACGACAAATTAGGTTAACAGACCGGAAAGTTAAGGTAAGCACTTGAAAGGAAAGGTGAAAGGCAAGTCCCGTTGTGAACAGGCTATATTGGTTTGCCCTAATCAATTCTACAGCTTCGATAAAAAGGGGAATTTGAACTTGTTACTTCTAGAACCGTCTATAACTAAACTTGGCGCGACATGCGTACTGAATTGATTTTTCATTTTGGGTTTTCCAAATACAAAACTGACAAAACTGTTCTTCTTCAAGGGGTTGGGGGAGAAAAAAAATAGGAATCGTTTCCAAATTTGTTTTTTTTTGTTTTCGATGATTTTCTTTCAAAGCGCTTTTATTTTCACGCTGAAAAAAGTTACAAAACATTTCGACATATGATAAAAACTTTGACTTCAACACTTCGAAAAAAATATTGTTAAAGCAGGATTAGATTCCAATAAATGGACCGCAAAAAAGTATCAAATAAGATATACAGCAATTTATCGAAGTGTAAGACTATGTCACATTGTCACGGTAACATCTAATTCTTGAATTAACAAAAAAAAATAACGTTAGACGACTGGTCATAGCTCACCTGAAAATTGCCTCAAAAACATTTCTCCTAGCGGGAATCGAACCTTTTACTCATTAATCCTAAACTTCGAATGCTAAATGCAACTTTACTTTACGATTATCCACAACAGAACACAGAACAAACAAATGAAATTAAAATCAATTTGGGCTGACCTTTCGCTTGATGACTCCTCCCATTGCACTTTGGTGGGTGTCGGATCCGGCGCCGGCAGAGATGTTATGGTGGTCGAACACCTTGCCCTTCATCTGATCCAGATGTCCGTCCAGCTCCTTGCAATTCTCCTGGTCCTTCGAGATCTGGATATAGCTCCTCCAGTTTGCAGAGTCGAAGCCCCAATGACAGATTCCGATGCTTTCGTGGCCTCTGTGCGCATGGCAGACGAACTTGTTCGGCGCGAATATGAATTTACACTCGAGACATTCGATGCACTTCGCCTCGGGTTCGGTGAACAAAGTGGGATATAGGGTTCCCTTGCATTTTCCGAAGCACTCGTGATACACTCGGAACCCAAAAAGTTTCGCGGATACTTCGCTGCTTAGTTTCAACTTCTTTGCCGAGTCCACGTGACCCGAAGACGACTCGTTTTCTTTGTCGAGTAGCTCGTGAACAAGGCGCTCGGCGTTGCTCTTCGTGATAAGTCCGCAATAGGGAACCCTATCTGGTAGAACTTTGATCAACTTCAGACACTTAGCTTGCTCGTTGGAGCATCGTGAAATGTAAATGTTGAGCTCGTTGATTTTGTGCTCAATCTGCTGCAGAGAATAGTTTTTCAAAACTGAATTCATGACTTGTGGCAAACAAAGTCTCAATTCGCCCCCCACACTAAACGCCGTAATGGGGTGATAGTTGAGGAGCGTCGTATGTGGTATGCTGTCCATCTTAAAATCAACCACTGACTCGGGAAAAGATTCTGACCTCGTCTTCGGAGGTGAAACCTCCATTTTTATTGACTTGTTTTCTGAGTTGTGAGTGAAAGACCGACCGGAATGTAGCTCCAAAAGCGCCGGAATCGCAACTTGGTAAGCTGGGTTCTGTAAAAGGCTTTTGTGGAGCTGAATTGAAGGGGTGAAGAATTTTTTATCCTCTGTTATGAGACAAGGGGTCGACATCGCTGCTAAAGTCGAATGCATATCGACTACTGAACAAAAACAAATAATTTCGATAAATCTTCGCTGAGCAAATGAATTACAAGGTCTTTAATGTGCGAATTTAATAAAGCAGCGAATGTTGAATGAATTTTGCAAATTAAAATGGTCAGAAAGTTGTATTTTAATCAACTTTAAACCTTCCTTCGAAGAAAGAACAGCTTTGAAACGGATAAATTAGACAAAACACATGATAAAAAATATTTATCCTGTGAAATTTCTTTATCTAACCACAAAGTAAGCACAGCGGACAGACAAAATGACGATTAAGAAACACGGCAGACTAAGAGTCAATGACCTTAAAGGAGGCGCGTTACGAGTTGATCAGTTGCTTCTCGTGTCTAGTCTCGGCCAATCAAATTAGGAGACACTGACGCGTCATTCTAACCGAGTAGCTATCGGCTCGCCGGCGCGGCAGTTATTTGTCTTGTTCTACAGACGAGTCTAGCTGAGTAGCTTAGCTAGTCTAGTCGTTCTAAAGTCGTGTACTCTAAAAGCAAATATACAAGTTTATTTTAAGCTTACTAGACAGCTCCAATGTGAATGAATACTTTGTCCGCTTACCTGATTGGCTAACGACTCGCGAATGCTCTGGTAAATTTACTTTAGAGACAGCTAAGAGATAAAACAAGACGCCGCAGTGTCGGTTCAATTCTACTCTAGACTGACTGTTAAGCCGATTGATGAATGAACCGAATTTAAATGAAAATAGCTTACAGATACTGTGAGAAAAATAGGCTTTAATCGGGATTGAAATTTTCTTCAATGTCTTTATATATTTGATGCCATTATTGAAAATTCGTCTGGCCGCTTTTTCGTTATTCGGTTAAGTGAGTTAATTTTTATTTTAATTTCCCTAAATCGAATAAACAAAACAATCATTTTCAATTGACAGTTAGCGTGCAACGAATAAAAATTCTTTCGATTCCATTCTTTTTGTACCATTCGATTTTTTTAGCAATCACCTATCACATTAACCAACTCCGAGAGTTGAAAATTTTAATATACCATATGTGCAGTCAGAAAAATCGAGATTTAACAATACTACATTACTCAGCCAATATTCAAAATTATACTCTTTATGTGCTCGAATTTTCGGAGCAGTACAACAGTGCCGAAGTACAACAGTGACGAAAATCAAAAAGTGTTCAACAGTGCCAAAAAATTGATGATTTTCGGCACTATTGAACAATAACCTCATTTTAGGCACTCTTGTACATCGGCATTCTTGAACGCTCCCTCTAAGGGCAACACAACAGTGCCGAAGTACAACAGCGCCGAAAATAAATTATTGTTCAACGGTGCCGAAAATCATCAATTTTCGGCTCTGTTGAACACTTTTTCATTTTCGGCACTGTTGAACTGCGGCACTGTTGAACGTACCCGATTTTTCATTTTTTTAAAGCTCACAGTATATTTACATTTTTAGATATGCGTTACAAACAGCAGAGAATTGAATGGACGAACGACTGTGCAATGGTTGGTAAAAACGAATTTTCATTCAGCCGTACAGCAAGCATCCTGTAACAACTGAAAACAAGCCTCAGCAAAGTAAAAATACGTCGAGTGCGAAAAATGCAAATTTATATGGTTCACAGCAGCTGGCTACAAATAAGTTGTCTGCTTACGTTGGAGAGTTCTCTCTCGGTTTTTATACAAAAATGGAATAGTTGGTATGATAGGATAATTGTAAATTTGAAATATACAGTTTCGTCAAATTCGTCCTGTATAATACCATTAGGCAATTTTGTTTTAACAACTGCCGCCGCCGCCGCTGTTTCAGACTGACTGTGGTAGAAGTAGAATTAGTTCTAGTTGGTATGGTGGCATTATTCAGACAAAATACAGAATAATTTAAGGCAAGGCATAAGATAGCAGCACAGTAGTGAAGTGATTGCTAAGCAGTAAGCACCCAACTTACAAAACAGACAGGTCACTAAGCAGACAAATTAATCAACTACATTTTTAACGAGCCTTTCTGTATATAACATACAATACTATTATACTACTCACCGGAAAATGTTCAGCCAGTTAATTTTTCATAAAGTTAATTTAAAAAAAATCGAAGTTTGTATAATTTCGGCTAAGGACATTATTTTTTAACCAATTTTACCCGAATAATTCAGACCCGCGCTGCGTTGTCTTCATAAGTGAATCAGACCTTATTAAATTGTTCAGTTTGTCTGCTTTCTGACAACTACAAGATAGATTTTTTCTGCTTACTGGCCAGAAAATCCGTGAAATTGCTTATTGCTGTTGCTACATTTACCAATATCACATTTTCTTTGGACTCCTTATGTGCGTGTAATAATCAGCACCTCGTTAAATTCGGAGACGCTTTACCGAATTTAAGCCAAATAACTCTTATTCGGTCAATCCAAGGGTGGCTTCGGAAAATTGCGTAAATGAACTCAAAGCTGAAGTGGAAAAAAAAGAACTGAATTAAAAAAAAGCAAAAAAGACGATTGCATCCTGTTTTTTCTTCTTAAAAAGACTGAAATAACACCCTTTTACAAATCTGTGACCTTAGCATAAGCAAGACTGCTCGTACCACCGTGTCCTTTTTACTTATTCTGCCCAAAAAACCATATTTCAATATCTTGAACTGAAACCATTTTGCTTCAATTTGAAGGACTAGAAGTAGCCAATCAAAAATCAGCACCATCTCAAATGTTTTGTACACAATGTTAAATCCACTTATAAATAGGCCGATCTCACCAAAAATACAGTGCTGATTTAAATCACCCGGACAAAACGAACAATATTGTCCTAAAAGCGTTTTACTCAACTTGGGCGAAGATTGGACAAAAAAAGAAGAAGAGAACAACAGTTGCTAGCATTTTTACCAGAATTATCGGATCTTCTAACTTATTCCGCCCAAATTTCTTAGATTTCCAATTTGTTTTCGTCAATGTATAAATGCAGAGAAGAAAACACTGATCGCACTGATTGGTTTGGTTAATAAAATTGTGACCACTTTAGCCGATTTCTAACGAAGCTGAATTTTGAACAGATACGAAGTTGGTCATTTTTTTTCCTTGAGCTGTTTTTTTTCTGGTCTGCAATCTCTTCTGTTTTTTTTTCTGGTCCGCGCTGTGTTTGCGAAATAAACTTAAATAGTTAACAAAACATTCTACATTTTCGTCCAATTCAGCTCATTTATAAGCCGACTAAAATTGTGAATAGAACATTTTGAGACGGTGCTGAAATTTGATTGGCTAATTCTAGCCAATCAGATTCAAGTTGAAGCAAAAATTTTCAGTTCAAGATACTGAAAAAATGATTTTTGAGCGAAATAAGTAAAAAGATCCGATCAATTTATTTTGGTTAAAATCGGAACCAAAAACGTGCCCTAATAAAGAGATCATTTTGACTTTTTTAGTCTATCAAAAATTCACTTAAGCTACCTTAAACACAGATCACCAAATTTCTAGAAGAGTAACACCTCCGAAAATCTGTATAAAAAGAATATATTTTGCTTAATATCCAAAAAAGGTCAATTTACTACATTAAGTTTTCATTTTTCTGTAACTTTGTTGTGCTGTGTAAGAGGCTACTTCCGAAAAATTTTTTGTCATCAATTTAATTGGCAGTTTTAGCGTAATTCTTGATGGACTAAAAAAAATGACAAAATGACCCTTTATTGGTGTACAACTTTTGTTCCGATTTGAACTAACCAAACTGCTCCATAATAAACCTGGTAAATTGTCAGCAACATTTGTTTTCATCCTTTTTTGTGTTGTCTTCGACCAAATTTAAAAAAGCGTGTGAATTTTCCAAAGTTGTTTGTTGTGTTTGGTTATTTTAAATGAGCTTTCTTTAAAGTTTCTTGAGGTTCAGCAAAAGTTAGTTTTTGGTTTCGAATTTGAGGCTCAAGAAGATAAAACAACCGAGTGAAACAGAATTGAAAAATCTCTTTGCTGTTAACAACCATTTCTAGATGCTCTTTGCATTATCATGTTTACATCAAAAAACAGAACTGAAAAATCAGCTAAAATTGAGCTACATAATTTCGGTTTGTAGACATTAATTTTTTGAAGTATTAGAATATTGAGAGGAAACATAAAGAAAAATCTTTAGCGATGCTTGGCAAAACTAAATTTACTGAATAAAATCTTGAAAATGCAAAATCATGTGAATCAGTTTTGTGAGTTTCATGTCATAATCACTTTGCCCAGATTCCTCTTGCTTCACTGTGGTAGAAAAAAAGCAGACGTGGCAATTGCAACCGGGCAGGAAAAATGTTCCTTTTTTCAGACGCTCGATGATGTGTCGTTGCAAAAGCGTTATCGCAGGAGCATGTATAGGGGGAGGGTGTGAAGTATCTATGAATCAAGACTTTATTAGCTTACCATCCAACTGTACTGCTGCACAACCAACAAGTGATACAGATGCTATGACGCACTAATTAAATACCTGCCAAATGCGATGTAGCTTTGGGACGACCATTGCTCATTAGTTAGCATTGATGCGAACAAATCAGCCTTTGATAATTCAACTTATTTTTTAACTTCGTTTTTGTCTAAGTTTAACAAATAAGGCTAGAGTAGTTGGCATCATTTGAAATGCACCTATAATTTAATCATCGTTCCTTAGTTGTCTATAAAGGACTTGTCAAGTGAATTCTTTATAGGGCGCAGTCAACCGATGCGAATCTACGAAGACTGAAACTCTTTTGGAACCACTCAATAATCGTAACTCCCCTTGATTGAGAAAAATGGGCAGAAAATTTCCATCTCACAGTTATAGCAAAAGATTCCGTAGACATAGATGATATGATTAATTCACTAGAACGCGAATAATACACGTTCCTAAAATCGAACAGACTGCAGCGAGTGAAAATGCTACCCAGTGACAGAATAGAGAGGCGAGATATACAGCACAGTTAAACAGCTACACAGAAAAAGTAAAAAAAGAAGCAGGCAAGAAGACATTAATAAAATCAATGGAATACATATCGGAGACATCGATAAAAAAAACTTAAATCTCAGCTTTGTCTAACATTACGCAAAGAAAATCAACTTTGTATCGCTCATAAAAACCTCTAAAAAAGATCCTTGATAAAAACTTTACAGAAATTTGGCAGCTGCTTAAAACAGCTTTCGCAACGGGAAAAAACTTCACATACCAGCGTTTGGAAATTTTTATTTGAGGACAAAAAGGAGGCAAAAAAATAGAAAAATTTTAGCAATTCTGACGGAAATGGCAAAAAATGGTAGTTTAGGAGAACTAGAAGCAGAACTTTAGAGGGACATCTTTATTATAAACATGAGATACGTGGAGGTAAAGAAATAGCTCTGTATCTAATAGCTATTTCCCGAAAACGCGCTAGCCCACGTACTCGTTCACCAAAAGTGAACCCGAAATCACCAACAGTACGTAAAAACTCCAGCTGCTTATTTCTCGAGCAAAAACACAAGGATAAAAACGAACCGATCCGTAACATAGCAGAAACCCAGAGAAGCCAAAACTGTGGTCAGACATTCAAAAGGACATCTTTCTATATGACCAGTGAGAGCAAAAATATGCAATTACTGTAGACGAAAGGATCTTTTTGCAAAACTCTTTTTTAGGAGTGGAGAAAAAACACCACTAAAAACTATCATTGTCGACCAAGCAACCCTAAACACCGGAAGCGTAAGTCAACGCCAGAACACTACCACAGATCCTGAACATCTAGTTAACCTAGATGACTTTAGATAATTGGCAATTTCCGAAGAAATTGAAATTAGCAACATGCGAGACAGAGCAGAAGATGGTATTTGAAAAATATTTTCCCAGGAAGGCCAAGAAATAAAGAAAACACTCAAAGTATCTTTAGGAGACGTTAAAACATATGAGACTGAAAATCAGATTGACTCAGCTAGACAGGTATGATTTTTGAAAAAAAGGACCTTCTACACAAACCTAACGTCAAAGATCGCTTCCTGAAGTTAGAATCAGAGGATCAAACTGCTGATCGAGCGTACCAAGTGTTTGGTAGCATCATAAAAAGATAGAAAGAGTAGTCGTGAAGGTTAAATCAAATGGATGGGAGGCAAATGACCAGAGCCTATTCATAACCGTGGACCCGAAAAAAAATAATAGGAAACGACATTCTTCCTAATTTCGGCATGAAGGTGTCACAATTTCCAGCCCTTTTATCAAGACAAAACAGCTAAATTTGCCAAACCCAACCCTGCAGCAACGCAGAGCAGTACTAAAATCAGTTCGAATCGGACGAAACTACCAACCCAGTTGTCAAGAACGCCCAATAAAATGAGTTTAGAAAGCTTATTTCTGAAAAATTTCTAAGTATTACCACAAGAATAAGTAAATCAAAATGTTTTAAATTAAACACTTATTTTATGGAACTTTTCAAAACCTGTTCAGGTCGAAGGAAAACGAATCCCAGTACACTTATTTCCAATAGTAGAAAAAATGTGTTGAAGCAGCCCAATTGTTGTAACTGCCAAACGATACGGTTCAGTTAAGTTAGCTCTTGTCTCGAAGATACTAATTGAGCAAATCTACGGAAGCCGCTATCAAATTCGGAATTTGATTGAAACAACAGGAAAAGGTTAGCCGAAATAGTGCAAACTCAGTATGGTTCTCATCAATAACCTTTAGTATGCTTTTAGCCAGTCCCACTATCTTCTAAGGCAAGTTACCAGTCAAACTTTATTTTTGTGGTTGGAGATAAACCAAGCTCATACCGTTTCATAATTGGAATTTATGGAGGGGGCGACCCATTGTTATGGAGGGGGAAAATACCAAAGACCCATTGTTACCTAGATGATATAATAATAGCAGTAGTCGGAACAGCAGTAACCTCATTAAAACAATTTTAAAACACTAATTGATGAAGTCTTATCCATCAAATGGGAAAAGTGTTAATTCGAAACGCACAAAACCGAATGGGTGGGAATTAAAACAAACAACCTTGGAAACAAGATGATTCAAGGAAAATAGTAGATGACTAATGGGTCCAATAAACCAGTTGAACAATCTTATCATTAACTTAATGACACTCCTACGGCGGTTCAGAAACCTAATGCAGAAAAAGAAACATTTCCATCGGACGAAAAAACACCAAGAGGCCCTTGAAAACATTCAAACAGAAATTTCTAAAATAGGAATGAACCAGCACTTTCACGTAACAGAAGAAACTAGAGTTAGTTACGACGCTTCA